CCAGCCTCTCATCCCCTACCCTATCCAGCCTCTCATCCCCTACCCTATCCAGCCTCTCATCCCCTACCCTATCCAGCCCCTCATCCCCTACCCTATCCAGTCTCTCATCCCCTACCCTATCCAGTCTCTCATCCCCTACCCTATCCAGTCTCTCATCCCCTACCCTATCCAGTCTCTCATCTCCTACCCTATCCAGTCTCTCATCCCCTACCCTATCCAGTCTCTCATCCCCTACCCTATCCAGCCTCTCATCCCCTACCCTATCCAGCCTCTCATCCCCTACCCTATCCAGCCTCCCATCCCCTACCCTATCCAGCCTCCCCTTTCACACAGGCTCCCCCCCCACCCCCCTCTGACTCGTGGCTCTGAAACAGGGGCTGGTGGGACCGTCCTGTTATGGGCTTGACAGTGTTTGCCCTGGAACCCCTAGGTGGGTGCTCGGTAAGAGGGCACTTCTGTGATGGAATCACAGTTGTCACTCTAGTCTGGCAGGGTTCATTTAGCAACTTCCAGAAGGCTTCTTGCCCAGTACCACAGTCTCCGCTCAGCTCAGAGATGGAGGTGACCCTCCTTCTAAACCGTCCCATCTCTGCCTGTTCATGGCTTCTTGTCCCTCGCCTACCACTCCAGGGGAAGGTAAGGCGGGGAGTGGGCAAGCAGGAGCAGAGACCCAGCCTCGCCCTCTCTCACGCTCAGTGTGATCCTGGGCCAATGCTTTCCCTCTCTGATCCCCAGCCTTCAAAGCACCGAAACAATTCATTTCAAGGGGCCTGAGCATTGACTCCATACTATTGGTTCATTTGGGGACAAAGGGGAGAGCCTCAGTCCTTTGCCTTTGGCACTTTCTAACATTCACCCAGCCCCTCCTTCCCATGTAAAAAACGTTTTCTCTCAGAGCCAAGAGCACCAGGCCTCAGAATCGGTCCCCTGACACTGCTTTGCTCTCAGCTCACTCACACCTCCTAAGGTTTTCTGGGAGCCTGGCTTCAGGACCAGCACGCTGGTTGTCCCTTTCCCTGGCCGGCTAGAAGATCTTTCTTCTGCTGTCAGTGGATTCAGGGGGAAAGCAGGGCGTTGCTTGGAAGGAGGCACAGAAAAGCACAGAGACAGCACAGAGGGATAGCACAGCCAAGGAGGAGGTGGACACATGATGCTTGGGACACAGTGGGCGGGCGGAGCGTTTTTTGTGTGTGCAAGTTGTAGGGTGTTGAAATCACCTCAGTCAGTGGGGCCTGATGGGACCTTTAATAAAGGGGAAAAAGAATGGAGTGGGACCGAAAGTAGTGGTGCTCATACACAGTCATTCTGTGAAATGCTGTCCGTTACGTGTCTGGGCGTTGTCTACTGGGGATGACAGTGTCAAATACAGCTTTGCTGTATGTTGTGATAAAAGAAGTCTGGATCACATGGTTCCTGCCTGAGATCTCTCAGGGTCCCTCTGGCAGCTACTGCCCATGACGATCACACACTTAGCTGTTATTTCCTCGCCATCTGCCCCTAGGTCTGAAGGACAAGACTTGTGGAGCACGGTGGAGAGTGTTAAAAAGTGTGCCATGTTACCCTGGAGCTGAGAGGTTGAGCCGGTCTGCTGGCCTGCAGGGTCTGAGCAGTCCTCTCCATGTGCCCATGTGTGTAAAGGACCTCTCTCCTCTGGGGAAGGGAGATGTGAGGGCAAGTGATGGCAAGCTGACCCTGTACGATGGATGGAAGGGCGCAAGGGGTTTCTGAAACACTGAAGGCCTTCCGGGGTCTCTGACTGCCCAAACCTTACCACGGGGCTCTGCTGCTCACTGCAGTGGATTTCCCTGAGGTCCTGGGGGGCATCACCTGCTGTGGGAAGGTGATTATGGGAAGGTGATGGATTTGCCACTTTGCAATGGTTGCAAGTGGCACTTGGAGCCCAGAACCAAACCTCTGTGCCTGTTTTCTACCTTCTTAGTGAGGCATCTGACAGGACTCATCTCATCAACACACACACACACACACACACACACACACACACACACACACACACACACGGCAAACCCATACTTAATCAATCGGACAAAACCCCGAGCTGTGCAGTTCAGAGTGTCTGGGGTGGGATGGGCTTTGAGACACCTGAATTAACAGGAAGCAGAGTGTGGGCGTTATGGAGCCAGGCCTCCTAGCCACAACCCTGTGTGGGCACCTGCCTCTCTCAGGTGGGACCCCGCCTCCAGCTGACCGGTGCCCAGGTCTTGCCTAGGGCTATTTGGAGACCACCCCCTCCCCCCACCCTCACTTGATGTTTCTATCTAGCCAGAAGCAAGCAGCTCCTGACCACGTCGTCCGTCGAATGGCAGCGATCAGGTGGTGTCAGCTACCACAAACAAGAAGTGCACCCCTTCTATATCGAACCCCAGGAGAGGAGGCTGGTGACCAGCGACTGTGTCCCTGCCACCTTCCTCCCTTTCCCTTCTTCACCCTTCTCCCAGGGGCCCTAGGGTGGGGCAGGCTGCTCTCTCTTGCAAGTCTCTGCTGGCTCTGGTAGGCTTCGCTGTTCCCATCTGGGGCCCTGTGGAGGGCACTCAGGGAGGGCCAGAGGGAGCACTTGGGGCAGGACTGTGTGGGCTGTGTCCCTGGGGGTCAAGGGCCAAGGTTTTGACCTGCGGTGGAGGGCAGTTCACTCTCTCACCCTCACTGCGACTCACAGTGACCCGCTAGGACAGGGTAGAACTGCCCCCAAGGGTTTCCTAGACGGTGACTCTTCATGAGAGTAGAAAGCCACATCTCTTTTTCCCCAGGGGGCAGCTGGTAGTTTCAAACTTTGGTCTTTACAGTGCTTAACCTGCTGCAGTAGCGGTGCCTCTCTGGGACTGAAAGGGTGGTAAAACGGGGAAATGCGGAAGGAGGAAGAATTTAGTGGAATTCAATCTCAAATCTCTCAGCCACACTTGTTTTTTCTCTGGTTCTTTGAAGAGACTGTGCTTTTAAAGAAACCAGCAAAAGGCATGTGGCAACCACCCGTTGACATCTCTCCAACAGCATGTGTTCACTGAGAGTTCTCACAACATTCCCGGAATGCTGTTTATTGATACTTCCTTTCCAAAGACAAGGGGGCTTCAAAAAGTTTGTGGGAAAATGGAAGTGAAAGAGAATGGAATTTCCCCACGCCCTTTTGGAAGCCCCGCCCCGGAGTATAAGCATACCTTTGATAGACATTGGGAAACCCAACCAGAGGAGGGACTTGCTTTATTGGGATATGCTCCTGCTGCGGTGGGCCGCACCCACCCCCAGACCCTCTCCCAGGCAGGCCTGACACTAATGGCTTCACGTGACCAGAGGCAGAAGATGAGATAGAGACGGTGAGAGGAGTGACTTCTTGGGGCCCCTGAGAACCCCACACTCTAGTTTCAGCGTTTGGACTCACAAAGCCACTGGGCTGGATGGGGTGCTTCGGGGATGGGTTTGATGGTCAGCTGGCTGCCTCCCTCCTCCATAACCAGTCTCATCCTTCACTCGGGGACAAGCTTTCATGCCGCAGCCTGGCTCCAACCCCTGTCCCTTTCGTTTCTCCAAATCAAGAGCGTTCTAGTCAAGTGAAAGACAGAAGGCACAGCCATTCAAATGTCTGTGGGGTTGAGATCAGACGAGGCCGGTAGAACTGGACTCAGTCCCGGAAGTGCTCAGGAGCACACCTTCCTGCTGGATTTTCAGCGTGGAGCCGAGGAAGGCAGTCTGATCACTGGGAGAGTGAGGGAGGCCCTGGTCTGAATGGCCTTCACCATGCTGTGGTTTGGGGGAAGGAGGGGCGCAGACGGGGTTGTAGGTGGACTAGATACTATTGGTGAGCATGGTTAGGGGGAAGGCAGGATGGAGGATTTGGGGATGAAGTCTTGGCTGGTAAAGGCAGCAAGGCCAATCTTGAGCAGGGGCACATGCACAAAATTGAGTTTTAAATGTCAGGCAGGAAACGATGCCTGGGACATAGCAACAGGGCTAAGAAGCTACTTGGCAAGGCCTATCCCAGAGCTCCCTGTCCAGAAGGGACACTGACCATGGCCACCAGACGACAGCCTCCATCCCTCTGTCCACTCCCCCATCTAGGCCAATAGACCTCTAGGGCCCAGGGCAGGGTCTGCCCGTCTCTACGTGAAGACCTTAGTGCCATAGGAGAAAGGTGCAAACCCACGTGCCCTCCTCCCCGTCTTCCTAAGTCTCCATAGGCAAGAACCTGGTTTGCATAAAGCCCTCGGCTCCCAGAGTGCCTGGAGGTCACCTCTGCCTTGTATTGGGAGAACCAGGGCATCTGGGAGCGGCCCTTACACAGGCCCCTAGGTACCCTGAAAGGGGGCAGATAGTCAGGATGGGGACCACCGAGGCAGCAGTGGAGGCTGCGGCAGACGAGGAAGCATGTGAAGGAGGCAGATGGAGCAGCACCCCCTTTGCCACCCCCCCCAAGGGGGCGGACGGACAGACGGACGGACAAGTTGGTGAATGCATGAGGGGGTAGCTCCCCACAAGCACAGTCCACAGGGCCTCTAGGGAGCCCGGGCGGAAGAGAGATGGCCGGACAGCACAGATGGGCACAACATCTGTCTGAGGACACAGAGTGGAGATGGTCGGAGGCAATGGCACACAGAGCTGGCGCAGGACAGACCAAGAGCAGCAAGAAGACAAGAACAGGCAGCCCGCTGACAGAGCCCCCGGGGGGAGCGGTGCTCCTTAACCTCCGCCAGGGTGGCAGGGTCTGACTGTCCCAACCCCCAGCTTCGGGAAGTAGACGAACTCTGCAGGGCTCGCTGGCTTCCTCTCCGAAGGTAGGGGAGTGGGCTCTCAGGAATCTGGAGCCCAGGGGCCTCCCGGGCTCCCTCCGAGGCCTAGTGAGCAGCCTGGCAGAAGGTGGGCTGGCAGACGGGGACCAACCAATTGGAACATGTGTTCAGGGGCCGCAGGTGGAGGACTCTGGGCACATCAGTGGAAGGAGGTAATTCTCGAGTTCAGAAGCCCGGAATTAGCGAAGACCAGGAGTGCTAAATGTATAGTCCGCACTTCACATGCGTGCGCAGCCCTCGGGAGTGCAGTGGGCTGGACTTCCCTGGCACAGCTCTCCTGGGGCCCCAGAGGAGGTAGCCTTGGAGGCTGGCCTGGGCTCAGTCCTAGTTCGGCCACTCTGGTCATATGCCCCTTGACTCTGCGCGAGCCCTTCCGTTTCTTGGTCTGAAGAACAGGGTGTTCTGAGAAGCTGCCCTGTAGCCCTGGCTCTCGATGATGGGGGCTATATTGGCCCTCTGCCCAGGTAACCTTTGAATTGTCTCCAATATTTGTGCTGTTGTTCCCGACCGGAGGGGGCTGCTAGTGGCCAGAGTGAAGCGTTAGCCTGGCCCCAAGGACCATTCTGCAAGGGAAGGAACCCTTCCAGACAGAGAACGCCGGTGGGGTGGCCAGGATGGCTCTGTGAACCATCCGTGGTCACTATTGGTAAAATGGTGTTTCTTTGATTGCAAGATGCCATTGTCTAGAAAATGCTCTCCCGATGTGATGCCGACCCCTCATACACACAAGGGAATGCAGTCCCAATCAGTGAACAGGTTGCCGTTTTTTTCAGAGACAACCCGATGTCAGAAATATTACGATGTAAAGGGAAAAATGTACATTCTAGACTCAAGGAAGCAGGCATCATGCGTGCGGAGCATGGTCATTAAGCTTGTTGGGATCCCAGAGTTCCCACAGCGCATGCGCCTCTTCAGGAACCCCGCTCCCCTGCCCCCACTGGGGCCCTGGAACTTCCTGGCAGATCGTGAGGGGACAAGGGACCTGGGCTTCGGGGTAAGGGCATCTAGAGGTTATGTGGCTAGACAGACAGACCTCCTGCTGCAGCCTGTGCATGGCCCTGCAAGGGTGGCTCTAGGCTTTAGAAAGGACAGGGACAAAAGGACACACACTTACTTTTTCAGAGCTTCTCTCAGATTCTTAAATCTGCCCTCTGATGACACAAGCTTTTGGAGCTTATCAATCAGAGCTTTTGTCTAGAAGGAATTAGAAGCATTTACTCACACGTGGCTCCCATGGTGGCCCGCCGCTCTGGCCCACGCTCCAGCATGCTCCCCTCCACGGCGCAGGCGAGGGGGGCCGCACCTCATTCGCTTTGCCTTGTGCAGGGCCCGACGGGTCTTGGGGTGGGGGGCTTTCTGGGGCCCGGGGCCCTGGCCTCCTTGATCAATGTGCCTTTGCTCCTGCACACACTGCTGAGCAGCCCACGGGCAGAGGCTGTGGGGACCTGCGCTTTGGATTTTAACACTGGGGCGTGGCCTGGGACCCTGGGCCTGGTATGCAACTTGAGTTTCCCCATCACACTCTCTCTCAGGATACTACCCTCCAGGGACGGGGATTGGCAGTCTGTCTCACACTTCCATTTCACCCTCTGGCAACATCACTGAGAGGACACGTGCCAGGGTGAAAGCCGATCAGAGAACTGGTCAGCCCGGAAGAAAAGGTCTTGCTGGAGAGGGGCACGCCCACCACAAAGGGCCTTATCTGCTAAATGACCAGCTGGGCTGCATGCCCACAATGGGCTGAAGCAGAGTTTCTGGTGGATGGCGACTGTCTAGAGGCTGGCTGTGTGTGGCAAGGAGAACGTGCTGGGCCGGTGTGGCTTTGCTTGCCTTTCCCTGGGGGGCCGAGGTAGGGAGCAGGCCTCTGCCTCCTGCCTTCTCAGTTTTCTCCTTTATGAAATGATCAGTCCACTGACCTCCTCTCCGGTTCTGCGGTCAGAATGCAGAACATCATGGGGAGACCATGATGAAGGAGGGTGGTAAACCAGGTGCCCCGAAATGCCCTTTGGTCTGAAAAGGACACTGGCCGTAGGGGTCAAGCACACACTTATTTTGGGTGTGGGTGTGTCAAATGTTTATCCTAGACAGCTGCCCATAGGAAATGTAACTCACTCATCATTCTGATGGAAGAAGAGATCAGCGTGCCCAGGGAGGGCCAAGGGAACCACCCAGTCCATTATCAACAAGGAGAAGGAAGGTAGCCAGCTAGTTTGGACTTACTCAGCCAAAAGCGAACAAAAACGTTGTTCTGGAACCGATGAGAGAGCCAAGAGCCAAGAAGGCCTCTAGTCCAGGGCAGACGCTGCTGCGTCTGCTGGGAACGCCTGTTCTCATGTAAGAGGGAAAGGCTAGAAGCCCAGCCGTCCCTGTTCCTCCAGGAGGAGGTGCGGGTTTGAGCTGTATCCCTCCCACCTCATCTTTTCCACCCACGTGCTGAGAAGACTCAGTGTGGTGTGAGCTTAGATGTGAGCAGTGAGTTGCCCAGAGACTGGGGTCTCGCTGGGCTCTGGCCCTCACCCTTGGTGTATACCCATGGACAGGCCAACACGCCTCTCACCTGCTGGGCCTCAGTTTCCATATCTGGAAATACAGAGGCACGGTCCTCAGGGCTGTGCTGTTTCAGATGGCCTAGAATTGTGAGTGATAGAGTAGACCCGGAGGCCCTGGTGGCCAGGTGACCGTGGGTGAAGTGTCGCCTTGCTTCCAGGTCACGAACATGTGGGGTTTCTGAACACACCTGGGGCCAATCTGTGGCCCTTAGCTGAGCAGACCTGGATCGCTCGCCTTCTTGCTTGCTCCGTGTATCTGCCCTCTGGCTTGCCACAGGAAGGAGCTGTGGTGTTGGGGAGACTACAGAGCCCAAGCATAAAAAAGTGTGTTCCAACGTGAGTCAGGTTAAGGATTCTTTTGTCCAGGTCAGGAAGAGCCATCACTGAGGACTCCGGGCCCTGGATCTAGGGCCCCTCGGGAGCATGGGCATCAGTGGGCAGAGACAGGGGGATCCCGGGAAGACGTCCCTGAAGCTGGGGACCACAGGAGCTGGCCTTGGAGGCAGTGCCAGGAAGAAAGATGATCCTGTGGTTTCCTGACCCCCCTTCTTGTTCCCCAAAGGGACGGACGACTCCAGGGGGCCAGAGTTGTTCTCTCCCAAATTCACGAGACGGCAATGGTGGAGAACACAGTGAAAAAAGACTGCTGGCCTAAGAGACACCTTTGTCTCCCCCAAAATACAAGTGTCCTTAGGAGAGGTAACACACAAAACCCTACGAGCCATTTGCACCTCCCGGGAGGATGGCCACCGGATCCTTTCCGAGGAACGTCTTTGTGCAGATGCAGTACAGAGAGGGGCTGGAAGAAAAAGAAAGGAAGGGAGACCAGAAGCCCCACCTTGAACCTGACTGCTTAGCTCTTTGGTCACAGGTGGGGTTGGATTTAGACATCATGTTTTTCTGGTTTCAGCTGGCACATTTAAAAGGGCGATGAAACTCGGGGTGCGTTTCAGGTCCTCACTACGCATTGTCCTCAAGTTGATTCCAACTCATAGTGACCTTTCAGGACAGAGCAGAACTGCCTCTGTGGGTTTCGGAGGTTGTAAATTTTTATGGGAGTAGAAAGCCTCATCTTTCTCCTACAGAGTGGCTGATGGATTTGAACTGCTGACCTTGAGGGTAGCAGCCCAACGAGTTATCAATTATGCCACCAGGGCACCTCTCAGGGCCTCTAGGGAATGTGACCATTTTCTGTTGGTCCTAAGTTTCTGTGGAATACTTGTAGGGAGACAGGGAGTCATCCCTCGCTGGTGCTGACCTGGCCATGACCATGGATCTTGGGAGCTCTTGGAGCCAAGTGCCACACACATGTGCCACTTAACACAGGGACTTTGAAGATCGAAGACACATGCCCTGACTCTCCAAAGAGAAGGCAAAAATCTTCAGAGGGCCACGGTGGGTCCTCCAAATTCCAGGAAGGGATAATGATAGAGAATGAGGCCAAGATATTTATCACATGGGTGTGTGTGTGTGTGTCCAGAAACCACCCCTCAGGGGTATGGGAATGTGAAGTCAGACCAAAATGCTTCAGGAAAAGATGGCATCGTCCAGATGATAGAGCGCAGAGCAAGCAAGACATCGACCCGGAGTGGGCCTCTTGAACCCCAGAGGAGGCCTGCCTGAACCGTGGCAGGCCAAATCAGCCTGGATGAGTTTGAGGCCTGGAAGCTGCCTTGCTCAACTCCTGACTGCAGTGCCTAGCAGCACATGCTCTGCGTGGCCGACGTGCCAGCAGGGCTGAGCTCCTTGGCTCCCAGCCTGTTCTTTGCAGAAGAAGCCCACTAACAAGAGTGGCATCATCTCATGTCCTTCCTCTGCTCCCAGATTCTCTGTGAGGACCATCCTTATGGGGGTGCAAGACCATAAGGGAAACCGGGTGGGGGGGGAGTGTCTGCAGCATGTGACAGTCCTGGTGTCAGTGGCTGGAGTGAACAAAAGACAGAGGCACACTGGAGGGCTATCTTGAGCCTGGCTGCTTATTTAAATAGACAGGGTTAGGGGGCCATCTGCCTGTTTGGTGGGTGACGATCTTGAGCTACCATTGGCATGGGACGGGGAGAGTTAGTGAGGACTTGGTGACAAATAGAACAATGAGGGATACGCAGTATGCAAATCCAGGCTGCCCCAGAGGAGATAGACCCCCACGCTCACCCACCTGAAGACTATAGAGATGACTGCTAATTAATCAATACCTTTGGAGTGTACTCAGTCTGTTGGGGGACCTGCCTAGCCTCCTCCATCCATGTGGACTGGTGTTGGGACAGGTACCACGTGGCCCCAGCCCCCCAGTGTGCTTTCCTTCCAGGAGAGCTGCCTTCTCACGGCCCCAGTGCAGGGAACATCATTCCAGAGGAAGAATCCACCAGAAGGTTTCCCAGAACCATGTCTGAATGAAGAAAGATCATCAACTATCCAAAGCCTAATGAGAACCGATTCATTCTTTGGTGGCCAGAAGGGCTGGTGAAATGAAGAGTCATTCAAGGGACTTGCAGGGTCATCTGGCCCCTGTTTGGTGACACTGCAGATCCCCACGAAGGTACCACTCTTCTGTCCCCAATTCAAGGAGGAGACTATGGGATCAGTAATCACTGCCCTATACGACCCACTGCAGGTGTTCGTCCTGAATCCCAGTGCCAGGTCTTGGGTCTGATATTCACTCCCTAGTTATATGGAAGAGATTCTCCGTTTCCCCGGGGGAGTGTTGGCCCCTAGCTCTGTCCTTCATCCAGTGGATACCCAGCGGACAGCCCTCTGGCCTCCCTGTCACAGGCCCAGCCTAGCCCCAAGTGGGCAGTGAGACCAGCCCCCTCTGCTCGCACCTGCTTGGAGACCTTGAGCCATGTCTTTTTGAGCCGAAAGATGGCACTCCTGTTCATCGACGAGGTGATCTCCAGCACGGCATTGTAGTTGTGCAGGCAGCGGCATATGTCGGCGACAGCTACCCACTTCTCAATGGCGCTCACCCTTACATTGATGTCCTCATTGCGAATGATTTCCGAAGCGATCAAGTTACTGATCTTTAAGCCAATGCAATGACAGGAAAGAGTAAGAGCAGGTTAAGTCCTGGAAAGACGACACAGAGCATTACGCGCAGACGCTAGGCTTGCCTGACTGAGAACCCCAAAGAAGGGAGTAGAAAACAACTAGAACAAGTCCCAGGGCGTCATAACTCAATATATAACAACGAAAGGGGTTCCTGAATGAGGGGCTTTTAAAAGTTCATGGAAAATGTCCAGTATTTTTCAATTCAATTTCCCCAAAATAAACTGAATGCTATCGAGTCCATTAGGATAGGGTAGAACTGCCCTTGTGGGTTTCTGAGACCAATTCTTTACGGGAGTAGAAAGCCTCATCTTTCTCCTGTGGAGTGGCTGGAAGTTTCAAACTGCTGACCTTGTCGTTAGCAGCCCAATGCATAACCCGCTGTGCCACTAGGGCTCCCGCATCAACTATAACTAATTAGAAAATACAACGAAAAGGAGATTACCTTTAAAATAACAATCCGAATTATAAATTACCTAGGAACTTAATTCATTGAAAAGTAGAGGATGATACATGAAGAAATAAAAAGTTATGGGCACATACTACAGGTTGTTTGCTATATCATGATCAGAGTGGAGTTTTCCCCGGAATGCAAAGGTGGAGTGTTAGGGGGATTCACCATATCATCCAAGGAGATCTCAACACCATGTCAACAGATGCAGACTTGACATAGCTAAGCAAACATATATTTCAGCACTCATTCATGATAAAGCTATTAGCAAACAAGGATAGAAAAGAATTTCTTTCACCTGATACAGAAACAAACATTATCCTAACTGGAGAAATACCAGAAGCAATCCCTTTAACATGAAGAACAGCACTCACTCTCGACCTTTCCATTCAGCCCTGTTTGCAGAGGGCTGGGACTGACACCCTCCTACCATCAAGCCCATTGACTCACAGCAAACCCTCTGCACCGAGAACAACTGCTCCCTCGGGCTCCTGGCTGTTCATCTTCCCGGGAGCCAGCCGCCAGCCTCATCTCTCTCCCTTGGTGTAGCTGGTGGGTTTGAATTGCTGATCTTCGGGGTGGGGGTGGGGGGGCTAACTACCAATGTCTAACCCATGTTGCCAGCAGGGTTGTTAGGGTGGGGGCTTGGGCGGGGCAAACGAAGCACCCAAGGACACAAGTGCTCACCCCCTCATGGCCATCGCTTTGATTCGACTGACTGCGACCCTATAGGAAAGGGCAGAACTGCCCCTGGGGTTTTCTGAGACCGTAAATCTTCATGGAAGCAGAGCGCTTTGTCTTTCCCTGGAGACGTAACTGGAGGTTTTGAACTGCTGACCTTATAGTCAGCAGCCCAATTGGTAACCCACTACGCTTCCCAGCCTCTTAGGAGGCAAGGACAGGCACCTGAAAAAGGAGAGGATCCTTAAAGCCTGGCTGCAGCACTCCCTGCTTGCCTCACCCTAGATCGGGCCCTCTTAGGGAAGATACCAGTCAGCGCTGCTGATGAAGACAAAGGAGGGAAAGTGTAAGGGTTGCGGAAAGAAGACACGTCGAACTGCTGGGAGAGCCTGCAAAACAGCCTTTCAGGCTGCCTTGACGCTCACTGCCTGAAGGCACACACTCTGGCTCGGGCGGGGTGGGGTGAGAGAATGGACTTTAAGAGAGATGGCCAAACGCCAAGTAGTTACAAGGTGTGGCAGTTACATACTATCCTGTCAACTTGCAAAGCGGTGGAGTCTAGCCTGTCAATCAGGTTGCAGTTTGATGACCTCATTTGGAGGTGCAAAGGAGATAAATTGCTCATTCACTCCCTGTGAGACATTCCTGTTGACAAGCCACATGGAGCTACACTGATAGTCAAAGCCCTGGAGCTGGAGGAGCCATGTGGAGACCCACACCAGCGCTGAGATACTTCCACCACCACTGGATCCACGAGACTTGCCACCCACTCGCCCGTGATCTTTCTTCCTGCATTTGGCGTTATTGCCTGGTCGCACAAGTCTGAAGAGGAATTTATGGACTCGTATTGACACGTGGGGTAATATCAGACTTATGGACTTGGTCTAGACTGGGCTGGGATGTTTTCTTAATGTACTATTGCTCTTTGATTTAAAGCTCTGTCTTTCACACACATGTCTAGGAATCTGTTTTTCTTGTCCATCCAGACTAACACACAAGGACAGCCTCAGAGGCTGACTGCACCTGTCTCTCCTGCTGGGCAACCTGGGGGATGGACTTTTGCCTGCGGAGCATCCTCTGTTTCTTCCTCACAAGAGGAGATGACGAAGAGTAAATGAGAGGATGCTAGGAGACCCTTAGCACAGAAGCAGCACAGGGCAAAAGGCCAATCAAATGTGCACGTCAGATTCTTGTCTTTCAGTCACTGGAGTCCTGGGCACCAGTTGGGATGGTGGGAGGGGGAGGGACACTTTTCAATGCTTTTTTTTTTTTGGCCTGGTTCAAGGTGTGTGTAAGTTGTGTTCAAGTTGGTGTGTGCTGTGTGGTCAGATTTGGTGTTCACGTGGGTTTCCTGAGGGCTGGAGACATGTGGGTCTTCATTCTGATGATGGGCTTGGTACACAGGAACCATTGTGCACTGAGGGGCAGTGGGACAGGCTCCACAGGGCTCCTCTCCTGGGCTGTAGTGTTATGGTGGATGGGTGGGGGTGCCCTCCCAGGATGCAGTGTGTTTGGCAGGGAGCGAGGGCCAGCCATCCCTCCGTGCAGTTACTGAGTAGAATCTTGCTCCCCAACATCCAGCCCCTGAGGTGCTTTCCTCGCATTGCTGAGCAAGTTCAGGGAAGCAGACATCCCCACCAAGGCTGGCACAGGGCTGGGCGTGGTCCCTGTGGCTCCGGGGGCTGGGTCTGGGCAAAGCTGGTCAAGTAGCCTGTGGAGTTATAGATATGTCTCAGCCAGCAACGGGAGGCTACGAGCTGCCACACACACTCCGAGACCTTGGCCACTTGTGCTTCTGCACCCCCAGTTTCTTGATCAAAAACGGGACACCAGTCCCCACCCTTGGGGGTTGCTGTGAGGTTTCAATGAGATTACAAAGCCTGTGAAGCACACAGCGGAGTCCGGGGGAACCAGTCCTCTGTTAGCCTTTTGCGAATGCTCCCTGCAGTCGTGACTCTTGTCTAGGAGTGGGAGATGGGGGGTGAGGGGAAGCCCCGGGCACTGTGTGACCTCCAATTCTCTGCTGCCCTCGTGTTTCCCTGAGGGGCCTCCAGGAGCCAGGGCTTAGTGTCCTAATTAGTCAACCAGGCCCTTCCTAGCAACGCATGTGGGGCTGCTTTTCGGGTTCAGCTCAAGGTTGCTGGGGAAAGTTGGGGCTGGGGAAGTCTAGAAGGAGGGGATGGAAGAGATGGCTACTATGCTATCCTGATCCTACCCAGGCACCCTGAAACCCAGTCTTGGTCAGGACTCGGCTCTGTGGCCTCTGGTCTCTTTAACGTTACCCTAAGCAAAAGGCACGAAAGGGCGATGGAGGGAGGGGGTGTCAAAACACCCCTTCCAGGGCAGTTGAAATTCAGAGCCCCAAGTTCAGGAGATCAGAGGCCTCTGGGTAAGAATGTACACATTAGAAGCAAGTTGTTTGTCAAGGCTCTAGGCCAGGGGTCCTAGAACTTTCTAAACAGGGGCCAGTTCACTGTCCCTCAGACCATTGGAGGGCCGGACTATAGTTAAAAAAAAACCAACTATGAACAAATTCCTATGCACACTGGACAAGTCGGCTGCTAAGCAGGACAGGCAGCAGCGGTAAAACATCTGGTTGGCCGGATAACTGTCCTCGGCGGGCCGCATGTGGCCCGCGGGCCGTAGAGGACCCCTGCTCTAGGCTGAAGAGCCAGTGCCTTTGCATGTTTGCCCTGATTGTGGAAACCAACGTCCAGACCATCAATAAACTTATTCATGAACTAGGAAACACCGGGTTAAAATGGGGTGAAGCCTCATCTTGGTGGAGCTCCTCCTTGTACTCCTTCTTAGCCCCCATATTAGGGCCCATAATTTTAGTTACAATTTTGCTTCTAATTGCCCCCTGCCTTATCCAGCTCTTACAGAGTCGACTCAGTGAAATCACCCACATAGCAGTCCATCAGATGATGTTACAACAATACCAACCTCTTCGCCCTGTGCCGGGGCAGGAATTCCAGTACTCTGCCTGAATACCCCCCCTTTCCACTCCTGAACTCGTCATCCTTTTACCAGCAGGAAGCAGCTACAGAAGAGACTGACTCCGCCCCTTTTCACTATCAGGCAGAGTCTGGTATGCCTGGTCTTGGCACAAGGGACTCCATTTTGAATCCGGCACCTTCTTGGTTCTCAGAACTCACCTCTCATGGGCCTCCCTCACATCGGCCTCCCCTCCCCTCGCTGAAAATCACCAGTTCTGAGAACCAGATATCTGTGAGAAAGAATGTTCTTTGAAGATATGTTTACTTCACCTGCCCC